TGCGTAAAGTTGGCAATAATCAATAGAAAAAACATGAGAATGATTGGTAAGAGTGGCTTGTGCAGGGGGAAGGCACTCTCTGCAGCAGAGGGAAAAAGCGTATGTCGTATTAATGCACAAGAAGTGAGACAGACAAAAAAATTACACAATGTTTTGGCGACAACAGATAATAGTATTTAAATTATCTACATAAACAAAATTGTGTTACATTATCCTTTGGCTATATTTTCATATTAATATGTCCTTAAAAAAAACTATTCTGAACAGTAAGGAGACTAGAAAACATTTCTCAATTCTAATCTTTAAGAGAGAATTGTTCTTCATCATTTTTTTACGACTCAAGAAAACATGTACTAACGTAAAATAAATATAGAAGACTTAATGTACATTTTATATATCTAATATTCATGTATAAAAAGTTTTGTGTTGACTTTTTGGTAAATAAATAGTTTCATAAAAGAAAAATATGTATATATATATAAAACACAAATTTGAGAGAGAAAAAAAGATCCTGGCCAATTTTTGCCAATTGGTTCCATCTGAAGGCTTATTACACCTAGAGTTTATCAGAAACACCTGATATATTGCACTGAAGAGAAAGGAGAATCACATTATTTTGTAAAATCAAAATTTCAAGATTGAGTGTCAAGTAATAGAAGACAGCCTTGTCTTGTATTATGCTACTTGAAGATTCATTCATAAGTAGGTAACTACATATAAATTCATGATAATCCATTTTTAGAAAATTTCCATCAAGAATACACCAAATTCACCATTCACAAAAGGCCAATCTTAAAAATATTTCAATGCATTTTTAAAATTTCCAGTGATTGATGATCATTATTTGTTTTTCTCTAGTAAGGAAACAATAAGGAAACCTTTGTGAATTGTAGATCATCATAGTCTTACATTATATCTTCCCTGCTAATGATTGAAGTCACATGGAAGTATCCACAGAATGAGGTTATTACTTCACATAAAATGTCACCACAATAGGCCGAGCTTCTCGTGCAACTTCTTCAAGAAGCTCTGGGCCTATCTGCAACACTTCACAAAGGCAAAGATCCTTAACCTATAAGCGTATGTAAGCACTATACGTCTTATATACACCTAACATTGCATTCCTGGTATAACTACCCTAAATACACCAATCCATTTGGTTATGAACAATGTTGCCGAACTTTTTTCCTCATGTTTGCAATTCAGGTATAAAATATATTTCTTGTCTGGAGACAAATCCGAGATAGTATACACAAGAATTACATATTTATCATATGTCGTATCAACTTTTTAGGATATAAATAATAACGTGGCTATAGACAAAAGCCATCTTAAAAATAACCCACCACTCCATGATCTGCATATACTAGCAATATTCACTCCTCGTTCAATGAATCTTAAAGATCTGCGCAAACAAAAATCTTCCATTTCTTCTGAAAGATCTCTGTCTTAACTAGCATAACCAGCACATAGTGTGAATTAAATTTACTACGTCTTCCAGTTATTTCTATTTTTTCCTCGAATGACTGACATCCTTTCAAATGTATGAAATTCTAAATTTAGTTATATGCATCTCAGGAAAAGTTTACATTACACACCCTAAATCTGCTGTAAAATTGGTGCCAGAAAGATTTTTAAAGGTAACCGATGCAGTCCACACTACAGCAACAAACACTTAGAAGAAACAATACAAAGAAAAAGTCAAGAGAATTTAGTATGTTAACCTACTGCTTTAGGAAAAGAGTGAAGATGTTTTTCTTCCATTTTATGTAATAATTATTACTATGGGCAATACATAACACACTGGGCTTATCACAATGACTACCCTCGCTTCTTAGTTGGCGATTCTTACTACACATCAAAAAACATGAAAGTGTACATATAAAATTTATCAAATACTTTTATCACAAACAAAAGTCATGTGTTTGCATACTAGAAAGATTTATTTCCTTTTATTTATATATTATCATTATTTATTTTATTTTATTTTTTATTTTTTTTTTGTCTTAACATCACATGTCCAAATAGAATAGAACAATATGGATACCATTATGTCAAAAACAATGACCAAATGAGCACGGTCTTTTTTAAGTGTGTATCTTTCGCATTAACCTTCCTTACCCTTTGGCTTGTGTTTTTTTAGTCCGTGCACCTGTGAGCAGCATTATTTGCAGTGTGGAGAATGCTGCCCTTGCAAAGAAGATTAATCTACCTGAAATCTCTTACACATCCCACAGGTGTAGTTTTTTTTATCAAGGTTGTAAAATATTCTAGAACATTTGTGGGTTTAGGGTACACACAAGCACAGTTGATTTTACAAATGTATACAAGATATCAACAAACAACAACAACAACAATAACAACATGACTTAAAACAGAAAGGGTAAAATATTAAGAAGGTGAGAGACAATCCTAACGTCACAGTCACAATCTGATTAATCAATTACTTGTGATTATCATTCTCTTATTCATACATTCTTGGCACATGACATTCACAACTTCTCTCTTATGAGTAATAGTAACACATGATGTAGGAAAGTTTCAAAACACTAAAAATATTTTGAAATACAAATTGTATCACATACACAGTGTTTCTGCAAATATTCCAACACAAATGTATACAGGTTAAACCTCACTAGCTCAGCAAGTTGAAGTACTTAGGATCCGGCATCAACAGTAACAGATTTCTCAAACAGTGAAACTAATTACTTTTTGTTCATTATCAAAACTTTTTGTAACACAGGTAATGTCACATTCTTGTCATATTTTACTATATTTACACCTCTTGTACTCCTTGTTGGTTTCTTAGAAGACATATTTAGGGGGTGAAATGTTTCATGCTACAGCAATTTCTTTAAGTCAACTGTGGTAGACCTATAAAATAAGGTGGCATCTCAACTGGCCAAGCAGCAGACATGCCAGATTGTTATCCCTATTCCAAGCTGCTGAAGCCACTGGATCAGTGAATGCTCAACTAATGAGGTTTAACGTGTACTTATTCTTCAACTCTTAAGCCTCTTGGTAAATCAATAATTCATTGACAAGATATGTTGTGAAAAGTTTAAATTATTACTTATACACATGCTAATATACTTCTTAGCAATCCTGATTAACCTCGGAGTAAAACTGCCACAAACCTGCCATGTTATTACAGTCATAGGTATTGTATTTTACATTCATAATTCTCTTGTCACTTGTGAGATGTCAGTTTTCCTCCACAGATCATAACCTAACATCTTCCTCATGCAACATGCAAGGGGCTTTCTTTTTTTTCTTTTTCTTTTTAGTTAAAGATCATAAACTCAATCACAATCACAATCAAAGAAACACATTGTTTCCCTTGAAGTAATCAATGCAAACAATATATTATTCACTTCTTCCTTCCCTAGAGTTGGTGATCTGTGATGAGAGACAAAAGAAGTTAATGATATAAAAATTAAGAATATTAACATACATCATTACCATATTTTTGAATGTACACTGACGAGTGAGAGGGTAAATTACATCTTTTTTTCCTTTTTTTAAAGTTTTGTCTCTAAATAATGGCATTGTAGTAAGAGTAAAAATGACATTGATCAACATCAGCCTACGATTCCCGAAGTGCCTAAGAAAGCATTACGATTTGTGTTAACATCAAACATGAACAAAGAAATGCCACATGCATGGGAAAAGCAAAAGAAACAAAGAAGGAAAACAAGAGACACATCACACAGAATACACTTCCACAGTAAAGACACCATGAGATACATCAACAGTTCCAAATATCTACTTGTAAAAAAGAAAAAAAAAAAAGGTCTATAAAATACCATTCATCAAAATAACCTAAGACACCTTAGCCATTATCTAACATGAGTAAGTTTTATTACCAACATCATTGTGACCTATATGTACAATTGTAAAATAATCTACTTATTCATAAGTAACTTCATTCACCATTCAGTTCGAAATTAGGAAAAGAAATCATGAACAAGAAACATTAAAACTGACAGCTTCCATGCTGTCTTAATGCCTAATCTGTATAATGTACACGCTGTTTCATTAATTAATATAAACATTTCACTTACCTAATAACACCTGTAATATCAAGATGAGATATTCATAAAACCATGAGATTTAATTTCTCACGTTCAATGCATATTAGGTGAGAAATTGAACACAATTGTCACACATAAATATGGATACAGAGATAATTGCCTACGAAGGCAAATGGGAAACTTGCATATTCTTACATCA